ATAGGCTGCTACTACTACTACTAAAATTATTAAAACCTTATTTTTAAGGAATAATCATACAATATTTCTTCAGTGTTTTAATTGTAATATTAAATGACCTTTATTTTTCAAAAAATAAAATTTGTTTAATTTTCATTACTTAAAAAATAGATTAAATGAATATTTTATGCCTTAAAAATTGAAAATACACAACACAGAATTTCTGAGCAAAAAATCATAAGGCTATTGTAAGAATAAATGAAACTTGTTTTTATGCTTTCAAATAATTAGACATGCTAAAACAGAATTTGGTAACAATAAAACATAAGGTTGGAAAAATAAAAACATTTCATAGGGCCCTAAACATGTATTATTGTTAAACTTTTAATAAATTGATGTTAAATTGTTTAAGTTTCATTATTTAAATTAATTAGACATGCTTTTTGATTAATAAAATTTAATTTAACCATTAAAAAGCAGTCCAGAAAAAAAAAAAAAAGCCCCCCCCCAAAAGCCGTAAACCTTGGGGAGACACTGAAACCCATAACGAAACTGGAACTAATTTATAGCATATGTACAAGACATTCACAAAATCATTTCATATCTCTGTAAAAAGGTTGATGTTCTTCTCTACAACATTTTTGCCTTTTTCATGCAACTACATGTGTCTGTTTGAGTGTTTTAACCCCTCACCTCAAATACAAGGACAGGAAGCTCTGTAAGTTCCTCCATGACGCTGGCGTGGTACTCAGTCTGAGTGAAAAGGGGTGCCTCATCATTTTGGTTGATGACATTAATGACAACCATTGTCTGGTTTTCCCATTTTCCATCCGACGCAACCAGCCGTAACTCATAGCGCTGCACCTGCTCATAGTCTAGCCGCTGGGCAATGAAGATCGTGCCAACCTCTGGCTCCACATCGAATGTGCCCATGGTGTTCCCAGAGGTAATCTGGTACCGAAGTTGGGCATTGGCACCTGTTTAGGGGGTTTGGGAAGCGTTAGCATTCTAGGAAGTGTTAAGCTTGGCTGAGCTGGATAAAAAGAGAATGTCAGCATTAATCTGTGCTCATTTGATGAGGATTACATAAAGGACAAGAAAGCTCTAATGCACAGTCATGATATGATTGTGCTTAAATACTGAAATTAACACATATACACATAATGTCACACAGAGTGTTTTGTACATATTTTGTTACACTTTTTTAAACACTTTTTCTAAATCAATGCGTCATTAAATCCAATTTCATTCTTTGAAATGACAGTTTGATTATAAAAATTATACATCAAAAAGGTTTAATAAGTTATCTCTGCTGATATATGAAATCCAGTTCTAAATAAATAAATAATAATAAATACATATTTTCTAATAATAATATTATAAAATGTTCCTTTTTTCCCGCAATTCTCTTTGGTGGCCCTATTGGCATAAAAATGAAACCCTTCATCTTTAGAGATGTACATCTGTGGTTGAAAATCTTATTTCAAACAATGACCATAATCTATCTTTCCCACTTCTGCTGCCCCCCAGCTTGACACCAAATGGCTTTATCCAACCATGGTCAGTGGTGGACAGTAACGAAGTAGTTTTACTTCGTTACTGTACTTAAGTAAATTTTTCAAGTATCTGTACCATGGTACACTGCAGGGGGAAAGGCTCTAGTTTCGCGCCTGCTCTGTTTCAGATTGTCTCAGATTCTATGAGACAAACACTATCTGGGCATAATGTGTGAGGATTTCATTAGAACTGTCGTGCTCATCCTGGCTACGGCCATCACGGTTGTGAATTGTGATGTGCTGTGACACTTGCTGAGGGGAGCTCCAGTGATTTTGCCAAAAGCAAGCTTCCTTAATGACTAGCCAGTCCATATGGTGGCCCTCCCCACAACACCACCACAGGCCAACTAGGTTAAACCTAACTACTGTGATCTATAGAATGGTCATAGGTGATGAAAGACAGCTGAAAGTCTAGGAGACCTTGTGCTCATTCGGTTGTTGAAGAAAGTTTGCAGTGTTTTACATATTCCATCTTTGAAATCGGTCTGGAGTTTAATGAACAGCTCAGAGAGGGCACTGCTAATCAGCTTTAGGAAATACTTAACAGGACCATAAAATTCCTTCTCTCCTGCAAATCAGCTCCTAATTATTCCTAGTCCCCATTTTCATCCCCAGTGTAATAAGAAATATTGCATTTTAATGGGGATCTCATTCATTGTGCTTTTCAAAGCAGGAAGGGGACAGAGGGACATCAAGCTTCGATTTGCATTCCCCTTCATGACAGTTGTGAGATATTAGCTGTCGCTCGGCTCTGGACTGTCCATCCAGCCATGGCAGGTCACGTCACCCTTCTCACCTCCACGGCGGCACCAGCGTCTCATCATTAATGAGCTATCAGACACCTGCACGTCTCCATCCCGCTGCCCCTGTCTCCTTCAGTCTGCTTGTTGACACGGCTCCACGCCACACATAATTTGTCATGCATATGTAACAGGTGAAGCCGCGATGCCGTGAGAGACATCGTGCTACCGCCTGTTTGTTTATGTTGACAGATGAGCCGAAGTCACCATGTCCTGATGAAAATCAGAGTGAGATCAGGTGGAGGAATCGTGTCACCGAGATGTGTGGAGGTGACAGCCTGGAATATTCTACAGGCAGAGGATGAGAAATGAGGGGGTGGGCAGACGGGCAGACTGGCAGGCTGCCACGCTACGTTGGACGGGTAGGTGATTTGTCCAAGCCTGTCACGCTCAGATTACCAGGAGCGACTCTATGGCTGTCGGAGAGCGACGGACCTAATGTAAACAGTAGAAGTCGCTCCAGAATATGCAAATTTATCTGACCACCGAGAGTTCACTAGACTAATTCATAGCTGCTCATGTATTCACATGGTTTCAGCTGCTAAGGCGAAGTTTTCAGGCAGTGCTGAGATACAAAGCTCTCTAAAGACATAAATAATACATTTACTAAACAGCTAAGTTTCATTTCAGAGGTCAAACAATGCATAGCATTAAGGTAAAGTACGCTGTCAGCAATGCTCGTACACTTGCTAATTTTGGCATCTTACATTACAGGGAGAAAAAAAATACAGACTGTCTTCTGTAAAATGGTGTAATGGCGATAGTTACATCATTGTATAAAAGTCTGTGTGCTATTGAAATAAACATGAACTCCCTGCAGTTTCAGCTTGCCCTTGAGGGGTTCAGCATACTTTGGTAACAATACGGTTACAATACGGAGCACTTTGGAAAACAAAACTGCATGTTGTCCCTCTTTCTGCCTCTCTGTGTTATCTTAAAGATATAGTTCGTCCAAAAAAGTAAATTCTATCAGCATATACTTAACCATTAAAAAATGTTACCTGAAATAAAAGTTAACTGAAATAATGTCAAATACACACATATCGGTAACACTTTACAATAAGGCTCCATATGTTAACTATATCTAATGCATCAAATATTATGAACTAACAATGAGCAATACATTGTTGCAGTTTTTATTAATCTTTGTTAACATTAGTTATTTATTAGTTAAAAATACAACTGGTCATTGTTTGTCCATGTTAGCTCAGGTCCATTAAATAACATTAATAGATACAACTCTTGAATTTATGTTTTAGTAAATGTTGGAATCAACATTAACAAAGATTAAGAAATGCTTTAGAAGTATTTTCATTGTTAGTTTATGTTAACTAATGTAGTTAAGTAATGTTAACAAGTGGAACCTTATTGTAAAATGTTACCCATAATATATCAAAAAACCTTAAAATGATTTTGTTTAAAAAAACTAATAAAAATGACAAAAACATACAGCAAGATTACTTCAAATGTAACTACAGCTCAAATAGAAAATGATTTAAAAAAAAAAAATTGAGATAGTATCTCAATATTAGTAAAATAAACCTGTACAATTTATATCAAACAGTGCATCAATCTCAATTGAGATTAGGAACTACAGGGGATAACAAATTCTTTAGATTTTGGACCATTTCTCACACAAACACAAACACACTGAACAACTTTAGGTCATGGAATAAAGCAGACCACTTTTTAATGTGGTGCCATATGGAACAGAGCAATGAGAATAAAACTAAAGTCATACAGATGACACAAGGGTGAGTAAATAATGGCAGAATTCAGATTTTTCAGTGAACTATTTCTTTAAAAACTTTTTTTCCTTGTTTGACTGATAAAAGATGAATGAATCTGTGCAGCTTGTTTAATACACTTGTTATTTTCTTTCTCATTTAATCTCTGGTTACACCACCTGGTAAAGCCTCTCAAGAGTTTTGTCAAAAATCTACCATTACACACTACTTTTATCATTTCAGTGTATTTTTCCAAAGTGTAGAGCTGCCTATTCCGTTCCATTTAAAAATCTCAATGGTTATTTGCCTGGGCTCTCAGATGTCACGCATCTCATGTAAATTTCTACGCAAAATCTTTCACACAAGGGTTTACTTCCATCATTAAAGAAAGCCTGCTACTTATTTAATTATTTTTCTTGAAGACAACAAAGAAAAACAAATCAAAGAGACAAACATCAAATGGGGTGCTGAAATTGTTACACCCACATTCACCACAGAGATTTGCTAACAAGCTCAGCACAAAAAGGAGCGAATTTTCCACCTAGATTTATTTCGCTCAATTTCTTTTTGCAACCCCTCCTCCTCAATCTCTGTCAAATATATCATTGGGCTGTCAGATAGGAATCATTGCACAAACAAACAAAACTAAAACAACAAAAACCACAAACTAAAGACAAGTGACAGGACTACCTGAATAATATTTGATACACCTACACACAATGAAAATAAATTACCTTCATCTTCATCGTTAGCTGTAACGGTAATGACCACAAAGCCCACTTCTTTGTCTTCCTCCACACTGATCTCATATACAGGCTGAGAGAAGGCTGGAGCATTGTCATTTACATCTGTGACAAAAACCCTCACGTAGGCTGTGTCTACAGGGCAGAAGAGGTGTGCATTACTTCCAGATCACATCAGTGCATTATAGTCTCTCAAGAGAAAAGCTGCTCTTTCTGGATAATTAATTTATAAATCAAACCAAGATGGGAGAACAAAAACAACAAAACAGAAAAAGAACAAAAACAAAGTCATTGGCATTTCATTGTATGATGAAATTTAATAATTGAAGCTCAACTGAAATGTAAATATGTGCATATATATTTGCAGAACCGTTCAAAACTTTGGGGTTGGTAAGAGTTATTTATATTTATGTTTTTGAAATAAGTTTCTTATGCTCACCAGAATGCATTAGATCAAAAATACAGTAATATTGTGAAATGTTATTACAATTTAAAATAACAGCTTTCCATTTTACTAGATTTTGAAATGTAATTTATTCATGTGATGGCAAAGCATAATTTTTAGCAACTATTATTCCAGTCTTCAGTGTCACACGATCCTTCAGAAATCATTGTAATATGCTGATTCGGTTCTTAAGAAACATTTATTATTATCAATGTTGAAAACAGTTTACTATTTTTGTGGAAACATTGATGCAATTTTTAAGACCGGTCTGATAAATAGAAAGTTCAAAAGAACAGCAGTGATTTGAAACTAAAATTTTTGTATCAGCCTTTGTCGTCACTTTTGATCAACGCATCCTTGCTGAATAAAAGTATTAATGGGGTTTTTATGAAACCATATTTCCAAGAACATAGACTTTATGAAAAATGTTAATGAGAAATTATTATTTGTAATAATAATTTGTAGTAATGATTTATTCTATAAATTGTATTAAACATCCTAATGACTGTTTAATATTAAAACTGCAGCCTTATTATATTATACGCAGTCTATATTACACACAAATCCCTGGGATGGCATTAGTTCTTCATTAGGCGTGACTCATTGAAGTCTTAATGAATGGAATTCATCCTGGAGGCTGGTGTGCCCTGCTGTAATTGGTGAAGGGGGAAACAGAGTGACTGAGAGGTTAGGAAGACATGCTTTATGGATCACACCTGTGTTAGGTTGACCCTGCTGACCGGGTCGGGCCGACTCTGAGCTGTCCTGAGACTGGACCTCAATCAAGTAGGAGCCTTTCTGCTCACGGTCGAAGGTGGCCCGGGTGTGGATGATGCCCGTGTAGGAATTAATGCTAAAGAACTGTGAGTCCCCACTTTGATCCTTCAGATTGATGTAGTTAATCTAGATAGGAAAGAGTGCCAAACAAGATTAAAAAAGAACTTTGCATCAAGTATTCTAAGAATCATTGCAAGGTAGTTTGAGAGTTTTAAGGCCAATACACACTGCACCAACACACGCAGACTAGTAGAGACAGTCACCAGATTACAACACGTCAGTTCTCAGACATTTCAAGACCAGAAGAAACAACATGTTAAATCGGCGAAAACAAGCGCCGACCAACATCAACAGATGTGCCAACAAAACCCGACGATGTGTGTTGCCATTTGTTTGCGTCTGTCAGTGCAGTGTGAATTGGCCTTTAGAGAGAACCAGGAAGGACCATGATCAGAAGAGTCTCACCATTCCATAGAGACCAGAGTCCAGGTCAGTTGCTGAGACCTGAGCAACTGATGTGCCAATCTCCGCACCCTCTGGGACCGTCGCCTCATATGTGGATGACATGAAAAAGGGAACATTGTCGTTTACATCTGAAAAAAAAAGAGCGAGAGCAATCTGTTACTTCCAATGGATTCATTTGGACAGATGTTAGATAAGTGGAAAACATTATTTTATAGTAATGCAGTGGCCCCAAAAAGTGTTTGAAGTTTAATTGCATTAGATACAAAATTAGGCACATGCAATTAAATGATTCTAAACTTTTCTCAGAACTAAATTCTCTTTTCTGAATATTCCACTATTTGTGACTGCCATAAAGTACCAGTATATCTACTATTATAGCATTTAAAACTATTTTTTTTACTTGAAAAATAAACTCCACTTGGGTTGATATTTTATATCTAATTCAATGGGATTCTTAAGTGCGACTTAAGAGTCACTTTTGGGGTAATTTGTTGGTCTTTTCATGTTTTTATTTTATGGCTTTCATTGTGATCATGTTTGGTGTGTGCTTAACTGTGTTCAAGTTAAGCGAGAATATGTGCAGGTTTTAATGTGTGGATTCACTTAATGCAGGTTTATTGTCTGGATTCTCTGCTCTTTGTAGATTGCAGCCCCTCTAAACTAGTTTTTCCGTGGGCTTTTTGTCTCCTTTTCCCTCTATTTCAATCTCCATTTTCCTCTTAATTAATGCTGATGTGGTCTCAAGTGTTGTGTGTCGGTGCCAAAGCTCTTCACTGTTCCTATTACACACACACACCGTCGCTCTACGCCCCCACCCTCCGCCTGTCATGCACTCATCAGCGCTGTGGATTTCCACATACACTCAAAGACAGCAGAGAACACTTTTGTGTATAAATGCACAACGCAGGCTAAATGAGCTATGAAGAAAGGGGGAAAAAAACATTAGCATCAGCGGCTCAAACACAATCAGTGGATCAGATCAGACACCGCTGTGCTTCTGAGAAACCGCGCTGGCATGAAATGCTGATTGCTAAACTACCACAAATGTGTTTACTACTCTGAGGGCACACAGGCAGTGTAGAACCGGTTGTCGAGGCATATTTGTAGCGTGCTAGTGAGAGGTGTCAACATGGACTATTATCATTGTGCCAGATTTTTAAAATGTTTGTTCTATTTCTTTCTCTTTGTCTTAGACTAAGTATGAAGTACCATGGTGTTACCATGATTTTTAGACATGGTACCATTGTAATACATTGATAATGTTACAAAAGATTTACATTTCAGAAAATGCCATTCTTTTGAACTTTCTATTCATCAAAGAATACTAAAAGTGCATCTATTGTTAAAATGTACAATTAATAAATTATATATGTGACCCTGGACCTGGATCTTAAGTTGCACGGGTACATTTGTAGCAATAGCCAAAAATACATTGTATGGGTCAAAATTATCGATTTTTCTTTTATGCCAAAAATCATTAGGATATTAAGTAAATACCATGTTCCATGAAGATATTTTGTAAATTCCCTACCATAAATATATTAAAACTTAATTTTTGATTAGTAATATGCATTGCTAAGAACACCATTTGGACAATTTTAAAGGCGATTTTCTCAATATTTTGAATTTTTTGCACCCTCAGATTCCAGATTTTCAAATAGTTGTATCTCGACCAAATATTGTCCTGTCATAGCAAATCATACATCAATGGAAAGCTTATTTATTCAGCTTTCAGATGATGTATAAATCTCAATTGCGAAAAATTGACACTTATGACTGGTTTTGTGGTCCATGGTCACATACTGTATGTGTGTGTGTATATATATATAAATAAAATTACCCCAAATTTGTGGTACTTATATTTACGTTTATATATAATTCTGATGTAATTTACAGAAGAGTAAAGTATCTCTCACCTGTGATGTTGACATAGACAGTGGTGAAGGAAGCTAGTGGTACAGCCGCCACATTCTGTACACGCACTCGGAGCGTAAAGAAACGCGTGGTCTCATAGTCCAGATTCTCTGCCACCAGGATAGAGGCAGAACCGTCCCTCCGGTTAGGCTTGATGTAGAAGCGCACGGGCATGTTGGTCTCAGGAACCTGACCCTCCTCCAGGTTGTAAGTCACCCTGGGGTCACCAAGAGGGGACGTCGCCTTGATGGTCTGTTGGGGGGGGGAGCTTTAGGTTAGTGATATAAAATTAAATATGGCCTGCAAGGTGAAATATTATGTCATGAATAGGGAAGATGTGTCAGTAGTGATGTGAAGGTTCCTGTTACATCTAAAACCGTTTCATGTGCATATGGGTTTGTGTGTGTAATTGGGTAAAAACTGCTTGGATGTGCTATAATATTTTATAAGAATTTCTCATTATGAAACACATATTAGAGTAAGATGTAAACACCTTCTCCCAAAGCTCAAACAGGATAATTAGCATTATTTGTGAAAAGGCATCTGAAATCAGCAGAACCGCCGGTCAAGCATCTGCTGACTGCAGCGTGTGAATACATTAGACACGGTTCATCTGTAATCCATCCAATTGCTTATTGAACTGATATTGACAGTTATGGAGTAACTTTCTGCAGTAGTAGTTTCCAGACTTCAGCCTCACAGAGCTGCATTATACTAACAAAACATAAAATTACTTAAGGAGTAAGCAATGTGTTTTATAACCATAATTAGTATACTACTTATAATGTAATCAGAGCAGTATTTCTCTGGCTCATAATCAGAGATTTTTTTAATAAATCAAAGCTATAATTTATTCCAGATCCTAATATACTATATTAACTGCAAAATAACAGTGATTATACCAGTGATGAACATCAGCGCTTATGTTTTATGATTAAAAAAAATGTAACACTTAACTACTTCTTGGCTGTTAACCTGAATAAATGGACACTTTCTATTGTTCTCATACCTTGGCTGTGCAACTTTTGAAGTGAAATGCCACAACCTGAAACCCAAATTCATTGTTTATTCGGTGTTCAGCCAAAAACATGTGCATAGTACTTGGATACAAGACATGGAGCCAATTTTGGCTTGGAAAATCCAATATTACAGCTGGAACATGTCTGTGTTGAGAATTCAAAGTCTTTTAGCTGACTAAAACACATTTAACCCAAAACTCCATCAACCAAATGACACTGTAAAGCAAACAAAACATTCCAATGACAATACAGCCAACGGCACAGCAAAGCCAACTGTCAAAAGTCAAAGATAAAGCCCTAAACCATGTACGGTCATCCAGTGTAATGAATGTTTGGCGTACAACACAGGTTATAAAACTTCGACGACAGAGAAAAGGGGTGAAAAGGTAGAGCAAAATAAAGGTGCATGGAGAGAGATGGAGCAATGACGAGTTATAGAGGGAGAACTCTGTGTCCCGAGAACAAGCACCTTAAAAGCTCTGTGGCTTTTGCTTCCTGCTTTTAAGGGTCGGCATTGCCATCCGGTATGTGTCCCCCAACAGAAATGGCCTATTCAGTGAACTTATTTGCCACAGTTACTTTGACAGAGCTCCAATAACTTCCCTGACCTATGCTACTCTGACAGTTCCACTGTGTCTCAATACTGATGCAGACCTCTGATCTATCAATTTTGAAGTAAATTTCATGATGATTTTCAGGGCCCCCAACATTCTATGAAACATTTAATTATAAAATATATATTTAAATAAATACATTAATTTTAATGAATTTAGGTTGAAAATTTCCCACCCAAATTATCATTAAAGTAATTAGTATATAAATGTCAATTTAATATGTCAATTTAAATGTGAGGGTTTAAAAGTGCATGAAATAATGTCACAAAAGTAATAAATAAATGAGTAAATAAATAAAAAAGTACTAAAGACTTTTTTTCTCGATGAAAACAAAAAGGTTTTTTTTTTCTTATGCTTTCAAAATTAATAGACAAAATAGTGTAAAATGGCATTCATACAAAGAACTCGTGAAGCCTGAAACGATCACTCTCAACACACCTCAAAACAGCATGTTTTAGTGCTAAGTGACATCAAAAATCTCTCAGAAGTTACCTAGACTGGCACTCCTGTCCATTGGGACATCTTGCCTTCACTTCAAAACCTTAATTTCTTAACTAATTCATCATGTAGTTGACATTTTAATCCAAAGTGACTTACAGTGCAGTTTCTACAGGGACAGTCCATCTGGAGTAACCCAAGGTTAAGTGTTTTGATCAAGAGTACAATGGTGATATTTCACAGATCAACCGTTGTGGAATTTGGACCTACAGCCTTTCATTTACCAGCCCACCACACCATTCGATTGGTTAACCATCCGTGGGGTTAAACTATTCATACGTCCGAAAGTTCCCCTATTCAACAGAAATTTGGTCAACTTTCAAATCCTAACCTGTCTAATCTTCCCTCCAAGAGTTTATTAGCGGACGTCTCTCAGGCTTGATGAGAACGGCGTTCTCATTATCCATACACACAAACAAGGCCCTTTAAATTACATCCTCAAGGTTGCAATTACTGCTTTTGAAAATGTGTTAATTAGCATTCCTTGAGATAATACCACAATGAGCTGACTGATATTTAAATTTTTAATTAGTTAGACAGAGAGACAGATAGATAGATGAAGAAGAAAGGCGAGTGGGGAGGAAGTGAGAGTGAGAAATGAATAGGAGCACTCGACACACAACAAGGCTACTCAGTGTTGCTAATGAATGCATTATACTGTTTAACAAGCCTAATTTGTATTTAGAGTTCTGAGGATGAATTAGCATGAAGGCTCCCAATGCACAGAACAGATTTGAACACCCAGTTGCTACAGTTATTTCACATGTAGGGACTTAACTGTAATTTAAGTTGTTAATTCTATAAGGGAATTAATCATTAATTTTATTTCTAGCATTAGGGAGTTCATACTGTATTTGGAGAGAGATCAACTGTAATTGTTGTAAAGCGCTTTGTTTTTCAAGTCATATTACAGGGAACATCGGTGTTAGAGTTCTGAGTGTCGGTGTGGTCGGTGTCGAAAGGAAGGATAAAGAAAATGAGGTTATTTGTCCAATTGACAAGGTGCGTTCCATTAACAAAGGCAGTGATTGCATCTGAATACTTGTGCAACCTGTGTTTTGAAACCCCTCGACTGCAATTATAATCATTCCATCCAACTAATAGAAGTGTGGAGAGGATGATGAAGTAGTTTAAAAAAAAGAGTGGTTGAATATGAAAAGATATTGACACTCAACAGAGAGCAGGAAGGAAAGTGATAAAAAGCTCTGAGGAACAACACTTATCTTGTTTTCTGACTGAAGAGACACTGAAGGTGACCTCCAGGTACATCCTACATTAGCAGAGCTATTAGAGTGGGCAGGGACACACAGATCTGCTCTGACACATTGCCCCCAGGACCATCACCTTCATATACACACTGTGGCGAACTTAATGCTAACACACACACACACCCAGACATGCAGAAACCTGACTACAGATATCTTGGAGAGGATAAACAGTACAGCTTGTCTAATACAGCTAAATTTTTCACACTAGTCATGGCTGATTAGGCAGCTAGTGCTGTTTTGGTACTGGTCTAGCTTGTTGATTCACCTTAAGGAGGCAATAAAACAAGTGCTAGCAATACGAAGTTTCAAACATCATCTAGAATAGCACAAGCTTGAACAGAGAGGGATTTATGAAAGCATAGAAGATTTCTTTCTTTTTTTAAAAGAGTTAGCAAGATGCAGTTAAATACTAATTCAAGAGGTTCTTAAATAACGTTAGGGGCTTGGCTGTCCATATAGTGTTAAGAAGATCATTCTATCAGCAAGGAACAGTGAATGAGAAGGTTCTGGAAAGTGATTTTGTGCCTCTCAATTTCAGCTAGTCATTCAGGATGGTGAAACTGGTTGAGCAAGGAAATCTTTCTGGTTATATTAATTAAAAGGAACTGTTCACTCAAAAATAAACAGGCCATTTTTAAGCTTTTAAATAAATATTCAGTAACTATGCACAAATGTGTCAAAAATGTTCCAGTTGAAATATTCCTTTATGAACCCCAAAATACAGCATCCAAAACATACACTAGTGACTTTTTTCACAAAGCACATTCTGAGAGCTGTAGTCTCATGTCCTGTATTACACAAAGAAAATCTGTTTACAAAATCAAAAATAACCACTTAAAAAGACTGAAATAGATCAGCTGGTGAGATCCGGTGCAGAGAGCTGTTAAAAAAAAACGCATCTGGATGATAAGATGGGTAATGGCACTCCCAGTAAAATGAGCACAGCCTGAGGTGCCATGAAATTTGCAATAATTAGAAATCATCTCATTACACAGCAATGGCATCAGAAAGAAAAAGCTGATCAGAGATGCCTTGCGGTGGCGCTTTTTCAGTAATCATAGTCATCAGTAATCAGTAGTTCATCATAAAATACGCTTCAGTGAGGTCACATTGAATATTGTGCCCTAGAAAGTGACAGTTTTACTTGCACTACTAATACCCTGCTAATAACAGAATTCATGCTCTGCAGAGGATCAGATTCTAGAAATACATACATACATAAATTTAAATTACATATATTCATATATATATTCAACATCTGTGAGAGTAAGAGTCTGTACTAAGAGTTGAGAACATTTAGTTCAGAGCAAAGTATAAATATTAAAGTAGTGTAGGTTAGAATGCTATTAGTATAAGTGAGAAAGTTAAGTAATATAAATAATTGAGTGAAGTGAGTTCTATAGAAGGTGATTAGAGAGGTAAAAAAAACATTTGTATTAAAATATGTAACATGCGGTGTGTGGAACAGTACATTAGGACAATATTAATTTTCTTTGACAGGGATGCTAACAGAAGCCCCCAGAGGAGGGCGGGCTGTCAGGAGATGAATGCAGTTAACTGAGCTTCACGCTGCTAGTAAAGTCCCGACCAATAAGAAACTACTAAATGCTGTTTTAGCTCTTTTTCCTGTTCTTCATCGCCATGAATATGTAAAATCAAAGGATTCAAGTAGATTGTGGATGTATGTACAGTAAATCTCTGTTCCAAAACCTAATGCGCTGACTACATAGCTGCCTTCCAATGCAAATACTAAATCAGTAAAGAGTGTCTAGCATGTGACTAAATAAACATCATTATTCTACCTTTGTTTTATTAAAAATATTATCAACATTTGTCTTGACTTCACCGATCACCTTGGATATATTTTTTTTAATTAAGTTTGTCGCAGTGCTGGGATTGCCTCATCCACAAATGATGCATGAGATATTGCTTTAGAATTTGGACAACAAGCTATCTTATAAGGCAACATACTGTTGCTGCTTACCTTTTGAAAGAGCCTTCATGTGGAAGTGTTGTTTAAAATGCTGTCTAAGTAGGCAAAGTAGGTTTTGGAACAGAACTTCTATCTAGTGTGTCTATGTACTTCCCATTCAGTGTAAACCCTGAAGCTCTTTAAAAACAGGTTAGTAAAAATGACTAGCAAAACAGTCCATGCACTAAAACCCATGCCAATGCAACCACCCTTTACAAGCCAGCGGGGAAAGAAGGTATTTTAAGATCAAACATCCCACCTAAGCGTATTTTACATCCTGTGGTGAAGAGGAGAACATCCCTGCCATAGTTTGTGCCACTGAGGACTGCTAAGACAGATGCGGAGGTTCATACAGATTGCAGAATAGCTGGCAGCAGCCAGAGGAAGCCGCTGATGTCAGGGAAACACAGTGACTCCAGCAGAACTCCTATTGGCACTCTTCACTGATAAATCTGCTGTATGTGAGGAAAACGGACTCGGAGGACTGGCCTTTTCGCCCCTTTTGAATGAATTAGAATAGAATGTTCAGACAAGCAGTCTGCTTGAGTTTGCTGGACAAATGAGGTTGTTTGTGGATGCTGATCTCTCTCTGGGTACAAGCTCCAAGACAAATGTAAAATGTGACAGCGAATGAAACGGGCTGAAATAGCAAACAAGATGAAGGCTGGATAAGATGTGACAAGCCTCAGCGGCAAGAAAGTCACAACACTACCTTTGCTTATCAACTGCACAACAAAGCAAGAAGCGTTGTGAGTGAAAACCTCTTCTCTTTTCCAAAAACCAGTGAACTGATGCAAAGGCTGTTACAAAAAGCAGGTATCTTAATAAAAATATTTTTTGAGAAGTCAGAGAAGGCAATCAACTAAGACAAGCGTACCAGAATCAACTAAGACAAGCTTAGTGAAAATGAACCCCAAAAGGCAGACAAAGTGAGAAAGATTATGATTACAATATACAGTATATGTATAATTCGTTGAATACTGAGAAATATTGAAAAATACGTAATAAAAAGAACAGACCACATTTTTGTGTGTACTGTGTATATTGTATATTTATGCTTATGTCATTTCTCTTGCTTCACCTGTAATTAAATCAATAGTGAGTCAAGTATCTTGTGCACAGTGCATTATGCTATGTAGAGCATGTCACATTACTTGTCAAAAGGGCAAAAAAAGAACATACACAAACGTGTGTTTGTGTGTGTGTGTGTGCACATACATATATATTAAATTGATCAAAATGTACAATAAAGACATTAACAATGTTACAAAAGATTACATAAAGGCTGTTCTTTTGAACTTTCTGTTCATCAAAGAACCATAAAAAATGGCTATGTAACAGAAAAATGGAGTAAAGATGCTGAAAATTCAGCTTTGGCATCACAGGATGAAATTACATAAAAAAAATTATATGAAAAAATCTTATCAACCCCAAACTTTTGAATGGTAGAATATATAATTACATATTATTGTAACCGTTAGGAACAGCTGCACAATCTGCCATGCTTTTGTGTTACATTTTGTTTATTGTGAAATGTAGTGGTTGTACTTTGTGTTTGGAATATTTCATACTCTTATAGAAAGCAGAGAGGAAACTGTGGTGGAATATGAATGTCTCACCACTATTTTGGTGTCGCGCGGTGTGTTCTCCGGGATCGTGACCCAATATTCTGCCTGTTCCCACTGCGGGGGCTGGTTGTGCACATTGGTGATGATGACAGTGAGATCGACCGAGCTGCTCCGACTCCCTCCGTCTGTAGCAATGATCTGCTGGCTGATCCGTGATGTCTGTCAGGACAAGAGACAGGTGATATAATCCAACCTAGGGGCTTATCAGCATACACTGTAATAATACAAGTTGTCACTGATACTGGTGACGACAGGTGAAGTTTTTTCTGTCAACGGAGGTTCAAAGAGGAGAGAAATCCCTGATACTTCCACCTGAAGAATTGGTCTCCATTATCCATTGGATGTTTCACATCCAGAATATCATGTACAGTAGCTAAGACTCTAGATGTTTTTGTTTTTTTTACTTTAATGATTCCTTCAAATGACTCCTACTAATTGAAAAGCACTTCTAAGATTGAGTCAGCAGTAAACTTTGCTTAACTGGCTCCAAAATTTTGCCTTTTCAGGTCAGAAAGAGGGAAAGGAAGAGGCAGACAGGAAGAGAAAGATGGGGAATGAGAGGAGGTAGGAATAACAGTTGGGGGGGGGGCATTTCTAAAACTGATCTACTTGGACATAAGTGATGCAAGGCGGTCAGACTGGCTAATGAAAAACATGGGGCAGACTTGCAGTATACACGTCTTAATGACCTGCTCTGAGGAAATTGCATCCACGTGCATTTCTGTTAAGAGCGATGAAAGCATGTTAAAAGCAGTGTAGTACTGGACATGAACCGTGCATTAATAAAGTCTAGCATCTGATGCTTTACCTGAAGACTGCCATCACTTATGACTCTATAAACAGGATGCAGGAGATTTCACAAGAACACAGCCTGTCTTTCTGTCTGTGCCTCTGTATGCACAGATAGCATTTTAATGTCAAATCAACCACCGACCTCTCAAAGCTTAAATATCCAGCATATAAATAAGACAGACAGTCATTTGTGGGCAGAAAAGTGAAGACGGTGGCATTTCTGCTCAGACCAAACAACACACACATACACAAGAACGGATGCTTCTTCAACTATGGAAACTTTTGGCCTTATAGAATTACAAAATAAATTTTTAAAACAAATTTCACACTCTCACTAGTTTAATTTGTATATTAGTATTTATTAGGGGAAAAATTGTTGGCCATGTTGGAAATGATGCCATAAGTCACATTTAAAAAAAAAAAATTGTTGCAGAATAAATATTAAAATGGTTTATGTGTTTTTCACTCTTTATTTACACTATTGTTTCATATTTTTATGATTGATTTTTATAGTCTAGTATTGAAAGGTATTAGTATTGTCTAATTAGTATTAGTATTAGTAGTAAAGTCTAGTATTGTCTGGGTCTCAGTCAAAAGTTACACAAAGGTGAAGGCATGGTAATACGTTTTCATATAATGAAAAAAGGTTTATTAGTTGAATAAAAAGATGAAAGGAAAGGAAGAAAAAGGATGTTTAATGAAAAAATCAGTAGGCAAGATCACTCTCCAACCTGAATAAAGGAAATCATACATATTGTTATGCCTATTATAACAAAACGCTGTCCCTCCAGACTTAAGGTTTATATGGATATATATAGCATCTCTTTGGGTCCCTACAATGTTTAATATGCAAAACTGACTATGGAGGATGAGAATGTGTTTTCTATAAAACACACACATGCAAAACAAATTACCTGTACTACAATAAGCAGTATTTTCAGCAGGAATGTGTGGATGTGATCTTTAAACATGTTTGTTCACACAAGTGCATGTGTTTACTCTATACTTGTAGGGACAAAAACAAAGGTTAACTAAATCTGACAAAAATTTGGATACGTCCTCAAAGATAAAAAATAAAATAGAGCAAATTAACTTAACAAAAACAAGTAAAGCAATAATATTATAAATCCTTAATATTAATATATCACATATAAATATATTGTAATATTTTATACGAATATAATGGATGGCCCCAACAACTGTATTTATTATAAATTATATTTATTTAATCACACACACACACACACACACACACACACATATATATATATATATATATATATTTCATTATACATAGGCATATTTCTGCTCAGGTGCTCAAAGATTTTGCTTAGTAATAATTAGCTTTTTTTATATAACAACAGAAGTCTATTGCATGTTCCCATTTTAAAAGCTTGGTAAAGGTGTGTGTTTGTGTACCTGTGAGATAGGGTGGTAGACGTAGATCCATCCTGTGCTGGGGTTGATATGAAAGTAAGCTGGGCTCTGCTGGGACAGAGAGTAGGTGATGGCCGCATTGGTGCCCTGGTCATCATCATGAGCCGCCGCCCTCAGGAAGCTTGTCCCAACTGGTGTGTCCTCTCGCAGGAAGTCTGGCACGGTTAGGGTTAACACAGGCATCAACAAAAACAAATAACAACAGTCTAAATACAAGCAATGCCTGCTGCTATTAAAAATCCATGTGCAGGGAAAAGGGGGGGGAAAAAAAATGCTTGTCCCAAAAACGTTTCAATCTTTCCCTTTAATAGTTAATGAGCTTTCTCAGTACTGCTTTAAATGTGATGAAAAGGAATTCTGACATCAAACTTACTGAACTTATATTTGCAATTATAAATAAAATCACTTAGAAGAGCACAGCATATTTCTCACACTCCTAGGCTAAGCGAGCTTTCCAGGATTGCAAACGATTGCATCGAAAAATGATTAGTGACGTGCTTATACTGTGTTCAGCGCAATAAAGCTCACCTTGCTCAGACTGTTATGTATTTTTAATATTGAGGTTTAATGTGTATTGACTACACCCAGGAATCTTGGACTTGTGAATTTGTTAAGCTTGCAAAATCCTTACCGCCCTTAAGTGCAATGTTAAAGGTCCATGTATAAATGTTTAAAGAGTCTACAGCTACAACCTGAGTTGGGGCTATGTCATGAATGCCTTCTTGCTCTCCTTTACATATGCAAACAAGCAGAGGAACAGATCTTAAGTACAGCCAACAGATCCTATCACTACAGAAGACCATTTGGAAGATTTCATATCATAGTATCACTATGTAACAAATTTAAAAAGGCTCTGTAGAAAAATATTTTACTTTAGGATTTACATAAGAAAAGTGTGCTGCCTTATACACTGTAGCTATCATCGGTGTCAGTTTGACCAGGTCTTCAATAAGAGTTGTTCAGTGGTTCTTACATTGGTAGCGGCTGTTCTCAAACTTGGGGTCGTTGTCGTTCTGGTCAGCGATGAGGACAGTGATCTGACAGATGCCGATGAGGGGTTCCTGTGCTTGATCCGTAGCCGTGACCGAGAGTGTATACTCTCGCTGCCTCTCTCGATCAAAACTTACCGCCGTACTGATCAAACCTGCACAACACATACAATGCACATAGATGCAACTCATTGGTGAATTGCTTTTTTATAGATTTCACAAGTTTAATGCAACTAAATGGCATGAATTCATAAACTTTTTTTTTTTTCACACATTAGGATACCAAATTGAAGTCACTCTGTTTTGCATCTGAACAATTAAAAATTTAAGAGAGAAATTAAAAATTAAAAAAAGAAATTTCACATATATATCCCCGTTGACCCCAGTGTCGGCGTCGTGAGCCTGCATGCGCAGAACAAAAGTCCCTGGGGGCTGATTCTCCAGGACCAGTGCATTCACGCTGTAGTTATGGCACTTTAAAGGAACCAGAGTTTCAGACATGGATATTAATACAAGAAATACCAAAAATACGTTCTTTGCAAATTCCTTGGCAAAGGCCAATATCAAGATCTCAAACAAAACTAAACAGTACTAGATTAATGCTGGACATATGATTTCTCATAATAATAGATAAAGGGCAAGAAAAGCGGGAACAGGACACCAAGACATGACGACAGAGAGAATGAAGTTTGTATTTAGGATAAAGTGTTTATAAATTCGTCTTTTGAGGTTCATAATAGGAGCACACACACTCATAATGAGGCCTCAACCTCCCTCTTCCTCCTCTTCCTCCTCTTGCTTTCTCATCATGCTCTCATTACAGAGCGGGCATCTGGTGAGCGGTGCCCACAAGGGAGTGGCATGTCAACTTAAGGTGATTAATCAAGTGACTAGATCGATACCGGGACTAAAAGCTGGAATTAGCCTCCCTCCTAGTCTCTGAAGAGAATTCTCACTGCGCTTTGCACTTCACACCTCTCATTATCTTTCGACACACACACACACACACACACACACACACACACACACACACCCTTCTGAGAGGGCTTAGGGAGGATTTCTCAGTTTAGCAAGGGAAAAGACTCGAACAGATAGTCTATTGCCATAATCTGCGATGCTATTAGGAGTGCCAGCAACCAGCAACTGCAAAGCAGGGTGAGGGTTTGCATTCGGCTGAACGTCGAAAAGCGTGTGTGTCCAAGATGAGGCAGTGTGAACCTCACAAGCTATCAAGAACATGTCATATTGGTCATATTGCACTTCAAAATCAAAAGAAATGATATCTTAAAATGAAAATGAAAGACCATTAATATTTTTTGCATTGTGACAATTTTCATTATGTTTCTATGGAAGCCTGTTTCACCTACGGAATAAAGAAATAAAAAAGGTAATTGTGACTTTTTATTTAAGAAATTTAGACTTGTTTTTTCTGAGAAATTATGAGAAATAAACTCAGAATAGCAAGATATAAACTCAGAATTCTGACTTTCTTTTTTGCAATTTATTTTCTTAGACTTTCTTAGACTAGTTTACATCTCACAATTTAAAATTTTTTTTTTTTTTAACCATACAAATAAAAAAAGGTAATTGCACATTTTTATCTCACAATTCTGACTTTTTTCTTGTGATTCTGTGTTTATATCTTACAGTTCTGACTTTTCTTCTCAGAATTGCCAGATATAAACTTGAGACAATTGCCAAAGGTAGTAAGGACATCGATAAAATAGTCCATGTAACATCAGTCGTTCAACCGTAATGTTACAAAGCTATGAGAATACTTTTTGTGTGCAAAGAAAACAAAAATAACGACTTTATTCAACAATTTCTTCTCTTCCGGGTCAGTCGATGCGCTTTCACAAGAGTACCACAACACAAGCATGTGATGATGCTGCTGACGCAGGAGCCGGCGTTCTGATGTAGAACCCAGATGTACTGTGACTTGTTTGCAAGCAGAGGAATGTACACGCATGTGTTGTGGTACTCTCGTGAACACAACACGGAAGAGAAGAAATTATTGAATAAAGTCTTTATTTTTGTTTTCTTTGCACACAAAAAGTATTCTCATAGCTTTGTAACATTATGGTTGAACGACTGATGTTACATGGACTATTTTATCGATGTCCTTACTACCTTTGGCAATTGTCTCAAGTTTATTTCTGGCAATTCTGAGAAGAAAAGTCAGAACTGTAAGATATAAACACAGAATCACAAGAAAAAAGTCAGAATTGTGAGATAAAAATTAGTTTTCTCAAATTTTAAAAGTATTCTCGTAGCTTAATAACATTATGGTTGGACCACTGACGTCACATGGACTATTTTACCGATGTCCTTACTACCTTTCTGGGCCATAAAACATTTCAGTTCTGTCTGTGCAGGGTTAGAAAGCTCTTGGATTTCATCAAAAATATCTTAATTTGTGTTTTGAAGATGAACAAAGGTCTTACGGGTTTGGAACGACATGAGGGTGAGCAATTAATGACAGATGTTTTATTTTTGGCTGAACTGTCCCTTTAAGCTTTGGGTTTGTGTTAATGAAATTCAAAGTAAACACAATTCAGCTTGCAAACAGATGAAAGAAAGCAGACCAATCCAGTTCACAAACTAAATATAATGATGATGATGTCATTGCTTCCAACTACTTTTGAATACTGAACTTTTATATTGACTTGTATTATATATACAGTAACATTCCACTATACATTATAAGTCAATTAAATTTTCACTTTTCTCTTAAAACTGCCAGAACGATAATGCAAATTTGAGGGGGAATGCAATTGTGTTTTGTGCAATCAATTAATAGCTGCACAGAGCATAAAACCATCAAAATTCAAAAGACATTTAGAAACCAAACACTATATTAATAAATTACCATTAATAAAAAAAAGCTTTCAATGTTTGAATATAAGAACATGTTTTGTACAATAAACAAGTTTGGTACTGCATTGAATCACTGTCTGATGTAAAACGAAGAGTCTTGAAACTAGTTGAGAACCAGTGATACAGAAGGGAAAGACTCTGGTCAGCAGGGCAGGCATAGAGAGTGAGAAGAAGAAACAGGGCCAGATGTTGCCCCTGGGGCTCACTTAGTGCTTCTATTTCATATGCATCCCCTGTGCCGATGAGTAATTCCCCCTTGAAATATTCATGGGCAGCAGCAGAGGAGGTGGCGGCGGCGGCAGAAGAAGTAGGGCCTGTGGGGCTCACGGAGAGTGTACAGGGACACGATTCTGCCTCCAACACACTCACACACAGCCCTCCTGCACCACCGGCCTGCACAGAAAAGCTCTTCCACCGGAGACCTCCAAGAGCCTTTAGATCTCCTTCTGCCAGATGTCTGCTCTTCCCTCAGCTCTGCTTTCACCTGTCTCTTTCTCACTGTTTCATTTTGCACATGTTCTTTAATATTTGCTCTCTTTTACTTGCTCATTTTGTGGGGAATTCATGAAATAGCTTTTTAGCCAGATGCGCAATGTAGTCAAACATATTCTCAACGTCTTAAAGAGCCAATTCAGGTGTCTGGTTCACAGTCTGAGTAAAGTATGTAAGTTCATGGCAGTCTGCTGCATCCTTCACAATCTAACATTCAAAAACAAACCTAAAAACGGAGAACTGTGTCATAGAAATTGCGTTCAGCAATGATTCAGAGTTTTTTTGTGAAATGGGATATACAATGAGACTGTGCATGTCATCAGTAGATGCAATTCATTGTTTATCCTTTATCTTACAGTATGTCTTCTGCTCTTTTATTTCTGTATATTAGCTCCTACCCATTATTCTTTACTTTCTGTCCCCTCAGACGTCATCTCTGTCTCTAAACACTGCCATTAGTGAAGTGTTCACAGTGTCATTGGTATTAAAAGCCTGAGGCACTTCATGCTAGGCAGATTTAATGAGAGAATATTTTTGAATTCTCTACTCATATCTAGACCTATCGAGTCAGGCTCTTCTCCTATACACATTTTTGGTTATGTTTCTTCTCTGTCCGCCGATTCGGTCTTTCAACTTCTACATCACTCACTAGAAATGGATTTTGACACACAGGTTTAAGATCTTTTTTAACCTCACCTCATCAAATACTGGCTTGTTGTTGTTGATGTCATTGATGCCAACGATGACCTGGGCGGAGCTGCTAAGGGGGAGTGGCCCACTGGCTGCGTTGTCATCAGTCGCCGTGACATTGAGGACATACTGAGGCCCGCGCAGTTTAGGAGGAGGACTACGCCGCAGTTTGATGATGCCTGTAAATAATTCAATAAAATGCTTTAGCTCATCTCACTGCCCTTGTGAAAGACAAGTGCGCTTAATTGTATTGAATCTGCACTTATATAATAAAATTATATTTTTAAAAAATGGTATTTGCAGATAATATAACATTAATTAAATAAAAGACCAGTTAAAGAGATTATACTTTCATGACTGTTTCTTAACACACTAAAGTACACTTTTAAAAAGTGCACTATATAATAATAAAAGATGAACTTTAAAGCTTTATTTCTAAGTACATTTTAAATAATTGATTTAATCATCTTTTGTCATATTTTAAAGTACACTTATGTGTCCTGACTAACATACTAAAGCACATGTAAGGTACTTGATTATAATTTTAACTGTAGTGTTTCAGTATCAAAATTGAAGTTAAAGTTAACATTTCAAATTTACTAAATAGCAACTTAATCATCAGAAGTACGTTATTACAAATATCATTAGAAATGACAGTAAAGGACATTTTAGTTGATCATTCAATCTGGTCAGAGCATTCAGCAGTACAAAAAATATTTCTAAAGTTCAGCAACTTAATTTAATATAAAAGTAAATAATAAAACTGTAAATTTTAATTAACTAAAATGAAGTAAAAATTGAGTGCCCAAAAACATTTCATTCAGTTCACACTCATACACACACAGTATATTCTATTAAAGGGTATTATTTCCATAATAAGCACTCTTTTTTTTTTAAGTTTGCAAAAGTGTACTTTGTTTTTCACAAGGGTGTACAACCAAAAGTGTCGCTGTCAAAACTGTTTATGAATACAAGCGCTTTTTTACCCAAGGTGACAACCTCTCAAAATGAAAACATTAATATCTGAAAAGAATGACAACCGCCTTTGTGCATCATGCTTAACAACATGGCAAAATGGGCTTCTTATGGTTGCACATTCACCAAACAACTGAGGAGTAGGGGGTTGTGCGCAAAAAAAAGTGCTGCTGCATCTTTGAAGTGACAACTCCACGCAGCTTTTCTGAGTGCTGAAGCCATGGGCCATCTCTCTGCGCTGACCTGTAATGGGTTGGGAGGTGGAACAGCCGTGCCGAGAGGCTGATAAGACAGGAGAGAGCTTTAGCATACTGCTGTTTTCCAGCTCTTAGGCATAAAATGTGCTAGTAAACAAACGAAAAGCAAACACTGCAAACAAATGCAACCTTGAGACTGAAAGCGCACAGGCAGGCAGGCATGAAAACAGACAAACACTGCATTCACACACAAGTGCACACACACACAAAAAAACAAGAGCTGTAGACCAAAAACAACACAAGTGGTGTTTGCTTTTCCTACAAATACCACAAACGTGAGTTGAATGATGGATTAAAAGCGCGTGCTGAGCAGACAGGAAGAGGAAACTCCTTTTTGATGGCTTTGGATGTTCTTTTTAAAGACAGCATCCCCAAGGCCTTGTACCGGATGCCTGGACGCTGTTACCAGAGCAGCGGGCTTTGAGCTTGGATCCCACTTGACTCACCCTTCTGGTTGTCCAGCTCAAAATTGCTGTCTTCGTTACCCCCAGTGATGGCATACGTTACGCCATCCCCGTCTGGGTCTTTGGCGTGCACAATGGCCACTAGCGTTTCCGGGCCGGCATCTTCTGAAAGAAAGGTTTTATATCTGTAGAAAGAGGGAGACAGAGAGAGATAGACAGACAGATCAGGCTCAGAACATCACAGACCCACCATCTGCTTCCCCTACACGGCCTCTGAAGCGTATCCCAGGGCGCACACAAACAACCACGCGGTCCCTGCACTGAGAAGAACCAGAGCAAATCCTAACATAAACACACACACATACTGCAGCTCTAATGATGAAACACCACCACCACCTCCTTTATGTGTCTCCCGAACTTCTATCAAGGGAGATGATGTTCTCAAATAGAGCCCTATGTGTGTGTGTGTGTGTGTGTGTGTGTGTGTGTGTGTAGACAGCTCGCTTGCTTCAGTGTGACTGTTGTCTTTTTGCTGAATCGGACTAAATGTCTGCCTCTCCTTCTGGCTACATTCAATAAATGCCAGAGCTCTATAGCCTGACGCTCAGCTTTCTTGGGACCCTCTGCTTGCTTCTGCTCTGATGAAATCCCATTGTGACGAAGAATGAGTGTAAAACTGTATATACTTAGGCACTCCAAAGAGATACTAGGAAAAAAGAGGGGGAGAAAAAAAAGGAAAACTAAAACTAAAATAGAACAGAGAGAGGTATGAAATGTGTAAGTCAAATTAACATAAACTCAAATTACTATTTAATGTCCATTTATTTTATTTTTTATATATTATTTGTAGATATTATTTATATATTTATTTAAGTAGCTGTGAAATAAGTGGAATAATGTACAGTCATTGCAAAATAAACACCAATTTTGAAGCCAATGTATCTTGTTGAATGAATGAAATGAATGAATGAAAATCTGCAAAAACTAATTATGTGAGAAGAAAGTGATTTGAAAGATCATTGGTCAATTATACAGTTTTGTATTTATTATATGCAAACATAATTTCAATTTTTAAATGAAAAGCTGGTAAAGCTAAATGAAATTAAAATATATATCAAGTTAATAATAGATTAATATAAGTTAATAAAGTAAAGTAAATAAATAAATAAATTAATATATGAATAAAATAATAATAAATAAATAAATAAATGTTTAATTTATTATGTGAGAAGAAAGAGCCTGTGCAGTGATTTGAGAGATCAATGGTTAATTATATAGTTTAAGTAGTGATTATACACAAATATTTGATTGCAGATTGTTGTGACTGACCAATCAGAATCAAGCATTCCTGAAAGCTTTGCAATCAAAAGGAAATGGAAAACAGACAGAAAAGAACCATACATAGTTTGTGAAAAGACAGGGGCTTCATCGTTGACGTTGGTCATGCGGATTCGGATGGAGGCTGTGCCTGTGCGAGGGGGCGCTCCCTTGTCCACGGCCACCACTGTGCACTCGTACATGTGGTTGGGTCTCTCATAGTCCAGCCTCTGACTGGGGCTCACCACTCCCTGAGATGAGATGTCAAAGTCCACACTCTGGATGAAGTAGGACAGTTCTGCATTCAGGCCCGTATCACAGTCCCGTGCCAGAACTAGAAAGAGAGAGAGAGGGACGAAAGAGCCATGTTAAACTTCATGTCACATTGACTAAAGGCAACAGCTAGCATTAACATAGCAGTAAATTGTGGTGAAGGCAACCTTGGTGGAGATCTGCTCTGGGTCAGGCACTGAAAACAAATGACAGTTCTTAATCATCTCTATGCTTTTCTCAGACAGTTGTGTTCTCATTAGGCCTGGAATGTTCTGATATGGGGGTATTCACTATCAATTACAAGCTTTAATGTCACTATGCCCACTGCTTGTTTGAGGATGGATTTGTTTGTGTTTGTGTGTGTGTGTGTGTGTGTGTGTGTGTAACACCGTGTCCTAACCATGCATGTACATGTTCCCAGTGTCAAGTAATTTGAAGTCACAAATTCAGCCAGAAGATACTTAATGTTTAATTAAATCAAAAGAAGAAAATAAGGAATTGCATTTTGCATTAAAAAAAAAAAATTGGGGGCATGGGGGTTATTTATTTATTTATTTATTTTACAAATTTGCATTTAGATTTAGTAAAATATATATTTAATACATATTGAAGTTAAAATATAATGACAAATGAAATATAACTAAACAACTAAAATAATAATAAAATCATTTGACACACAACCAAAGGGTAAAAGATTTGTACATGTTTTTGAATCAAAAGCCTGTTATGCTCACCAAGGTTGAAAAACATACTGTGGAATATTATTATAATTTTAAAAAACAGTTTTCTATGTTAATATATTTTAAAGTCACATGTAATGTAATCAACAGGAATAAATTATATTTTAAAATACAATATATTAACAGTTCTTTTACATTTTAATAATATTTCACAATATTGCAGTTTTTACTATATTTTTGATCAAATAAATGCAGCACTGGTAAGACACTTTGTTCAAAAACAACAACAAAAAAATCTTAATTTATAATAAAATAATGACTTTCGGTAGTATATATACATACAATTATATATATATATATATATATATATATATATCCAAACTCTCAATATCATATATACAGTATTTCTGCAGTTAGAACTTCTTGTGCTAAGTGCTTTTTAAATTGTATACGGTGTCATATTAATAGAGCCAATATTAATTAAAACTATGTAGCAGAGGCCAATTCTATATTTGATCAATTTAAGTGCCCATCTGTCAGTGGCACGGCGAAAAGCTGCTGTTGACTGAAGCAGATCAAAAGTAAAAGTGGAGGAAGGCTTTGCTGTCATTAGGCACACAGCCAAAGTCAGGGTCCTGTATCATTATACGGCAGGCAAGCTGTCATCACACCCAGTCAGCCAGCATACTCATTTACTACAGCCACATGACGGCTCTCCAATCTCCAAGGCAAATAGCTAGTGCCCACAGATGTAGCGATGTTCAGCAGAAACCCTCTTTCTCTCACAGTTAAGCTGAGGACTTGTTGCGGCTGTTAGAAGCAGGTGGGTAAGGGTGGGTGTCAGCGCCCCACACGAGTATAAACAAGTTTCGGAGCAGCCGTGAACGCATGTGAAGTCATACGGCCAGGATTCAAACAGAAGGTTCATTAAAAATACAAGTCCTAATACACTGTCTCTTAGGGCTACCTATTACCATATTTAATGCATGTGAGTGAGAGACCAGGGCTAAATTAAACATACCAGTTAGGCGGCTTGGGAGAGAGAAAGAGAAAGAGAAAGGCTGGTGGACTAAGGTTGGGCGAGTTTTAAGTGCGTTGCTTCACCATGCGCTAAATCCTCTCTGAGAAGTTTTCCGTGTGATAATTGGAGTGCATTCTGCACTTCTCTTCCTGCTAGGCCCTATTAAAAGCCGGCACCCAATTTACAGTCTAATCCCGTTTTAAGGTAAACAACAATAATAATCTCTCCCTTCTGCCAGGCTTCGCACAGTCAACGATTGCGCCGTGTTTTTCTTTTTTCTTTTTCCACTCACAACAGAACACATTTGATAAGAAAATAACATTCCCAGCTGGTGTTTGTGTGAACCTGCTGCTTTTACATGTTGAGAGAGAGAGAAAGAGAGCGAGGGAGACGAAACGAGAAGAGAAAGAAGACACAGAGACAGAAAAAGAAAGTTGCTTTGCGTACCGCACTAAAACAGAAGAGCCAACTGGAATCAGAGGCAGGAACCATTCTGTTTGCATATGGTGAACAGTTCTTGTTTTCACTGGGTGCAGCGATATGTAAACATAATTGAATTGCATAAATGCAGTTGGCATTCTAAATTTGTGCATCTGCCCCACAAAGCGTGCGGTCTGCCTGATCTGATTCACTTCTGTTGCTTGTTGCCTTGCTTTTCTCTCTTTTCTGCTTCTTTCCATCAGTGTCGTAGGCTTGTGCATAACAAAGTCTAAATTAAGAATAGTTCATCACTGAGAATTCTGCGGAGAAGGTGAGGAGCTCTTTAAAACGGTGGGCAGCGCTGGGGCATCGCACAGCTTTTCGATCTGTGATGAGCACTGGATGAGAAGAATTTCCTGGCTGCTGAGCACAAAGCTTCTGTTTGATACTAAGATAACTATTAGATTGGAGATTGTTAATAAAAAAAGGACACATGCATGTACTCACACATACAGTCGAACAGGTACAGATCATGGTCAATTTTACTGAACAAGACATTTGTGCATAAATTTTGCCTTTTTTTTAATTTTTATTTCACATATATTTATGTTGTAGTTTTTCAGTGTTTTTTAGCATGTTGCTATGTGGTTGCTAGGCTGTCAAAGAAGTCCAGCCACAAGTCTCTTTGATATTATGGTCTGTAGATATGCCTCCTTCTGTGGAAGTCTATGAAATTTTTACTAGAAACACACAACATGTTTCCATATGGTACCATGATGGTTAGCCTTCAATATGAGAGATTTTTGTAATTGATCAGTATCAGTCAATACTGGATATATAGCATTACATATTCAATAAATGTTAAGATTGTCTTTGTCATCATAAAACACTTAAAGTTAATCTTCAGAAAAAAAATAATTTAAAAAAAGTTAAATATTATCTTTAGCAAATCTCAAAATGAATATTCATTTATCAAACTGAATATTGTCATATTTTATGCCTATTTATACTCCTTGCTTTTAACTGATTTTAGTTTTTAGTGTTTTATTTTTAATTTTAATTAGACAATAGTAAAGTTTTATTTTATATAACCTAGTTGCAAGCAGCACACCTCTTTTTAACAAAAAATCATTCGGGTCTGTAGAAAAACTGGTATGGGCTGAGTTACTAAAATATAAAGGGTTAGTTCACCCAAAAATTAAAATTCTGTCTAATAAAATTTTGTCTAAGCCAAAATTAAATCTGTTCATCATATAAAGTGATATTATCTCTTTTTGCAAAACTTGAATTGAACTGCTCAATTCAACTTTTGGACATTTTTAGGATCTTCTCAGTTTTGGTTACCTGCACTTTTAATGGAGTGACAGAAACCTCTCAGGTTTCATTAAATATATCTTAATTTGTGTTTTGAAGATTAAGCAAAGTCTTATGGATTTGGTACAATGTGAAAGTAAGTTCATTTTTGGGTGAACTGTCCCTTTAATAATGAGGGTTAGAGGTTTGTTCAAATCCCAAACACTAGCTATGAGCAACACTAATAGTAATGCCTGTCTTAGCAAGCACCACTAATTAGGGCTTATGAATATTTATTCAAACAACTAATGCACTCAAACCTCTTTCTGAAATGCAACACGACATCTCGTTCATGTTTTTTTATGCTTCTAAAACACCTTCAATTACAGCGATAAGATCACAGATGGGGCCGGCACAGAGAGATAAACAGGTCCCTTCCCATTAACGCTTGTATTTTAGAGAAGGAGGTCAGGCATGCCTCTTCTTCAGAGCTGCCTTTCACTATCAGACATGATTATCTGAAGAAAATGGAGGGGGTCGCAGCCCCCCACCTGGCCACATCCGTTGCCACAGTGGAGATCTCACCTCTATTGCTGGGTCACAGTCTCCAACCTGTGGTTATAGAGCCCACAACATCAGTAAAGACACAAAATGGAGCGCTGATGGTTTTACTAGTTTGACAGAGCTAGTCAGGAGGAAGAGAGATTGGAAAGGAGAGGAAGACGGGGGCAGAAAAGCTTCTCTGCCTGGAAGCCACCGAGGTGGCTTTGATTACAATCCATTTACCACCCAGAAATCGCTGCCATAATGAATTATTTAATAATTACAGAACTGAGTTGAAAAGACATTCACCCCCGCAGAGCAAGCGGCAACAGCACCTGCCTCAAGAGTGGGACTGCCGGGGGAAAAACACGGACAGAGAGAAAGAAAGTGAGACGGACACAGAGACAACTCGAGAAACAGACACTCACCCTGCAGTAAGGATGTGCCAGTAGGGGTGGTCTCAGGGACATTGTCTCGACTGTAAATGGAGTGCATAAATTCGGGTGTGCAGTCATTCTCATCTGTGATGTGAACCACCACCTGCATAAGTAAGAGAATGAGATAGAGGAAGAAACATTATTATGTGGACAAGTATTTAAGCATAAACAGTCAGTCCCCAAATAAAGTCTCCTCCCAAACACCCACACAGCTTCATCACTTCATAGTCTATGGATTTTAGTCAGGTCTTTAAAGCAACAAAATGACTAGTTATAGATAATACTAGTAATAGATTTCACTGACGGGTAAGTGCAGAGGCATTAACCATACATTTTTCTGTCTTTTAAAGAATTATAAGAACATTAATGCACAAATAAAAATGTTTTCCACAACGCTGACAGATTTCAAAAAAAAAAAAAATAATTTTTTTTAAATAGTATCTGTTTGATTGTTTTAAATGTCCTCAACATACTTTAGGAACGTTCAAATAAATAAAGGATGCTAAGAGGCATTAGAATTGAAGACAAAGGGAGTAAATCTGGAGTTTTAAAGTGACCAGCAAATATAGATGAGAGAGACGAAGTGTGGACACATTTACCACTGTTCTGCCAAATTTTGTGGATGAATAAATTTTTTTCACATTAATTTTCTGCACTGACCGACAGTTTGAAAGTGACTTCTGGGTGAACAGTGCTTCATGCATTACTACGCTATTTCCAGTGGAATTTCACTGAAATTTCATTAATGAGAACACTAAAATAGCTCTTGCCACAGAACTTCTTGTGATGCTGGATTCAAAATGCCAAACAGAACAATGCTGAGAGATCAAAACAGAACAAGACAGAACATTTGCAAACCAGCTCATAAGAATTATATATAATGATTATTTATATCACAACCTCTGTGCACATACTCTCCTTACTGACCTTCAAGGCAAATTTCTTATGGCTGCATAATGATTACAAACATGCCAATATTTACAGCATTGTGAGAGTAAGTGAGCTACAAGCAATTATTATTAATCACTTGATTGATTGGTTTGAAAACTTTCTATTTTATTGTTAAAATTCAGTAAATGACAGACAATTTAAGAAAAAAAAGGAAGAAAAAGTTATTTGGTCAACCAGCTTCTTCAGAAAGATGGCTGACCTCAATATTTGCATGGAAGGCAATCTTTAAAACAAGGATAAAACCCTGCATGAGCATGGACAAATTTAGTGTCCTGAGTCACTTGGCTTTCTGGAGGCTTTCGGTTAAGAACGGAGGCATAAGAGAGAGGAATAACATTAAAAGAAGAGGCCGAAGCAGAACAGAACAGCTGTGGCAGAAGCCACTGAATGCAAATGGCTCAACCACCCCACAAACACACACATAAACCCCAGTCAAACTCAGTGTGTAGACTTTAATGTAGCAGATCTCAGCTGAAGCTCAGATGATAGCTTATGGAAGGGCTCTATCTACATTCAGGTTTCTCTCTGTGCAGCGATTTGTGTGCATTGAGACAGAATACTGGCACAGGATTTGACTTTGTCCGAACAGAGGCAGAGGGAAAGCAGGGTACGTGTTCTCAGTGGGAGCGTTAGTCATGGTGAGGGTGAGTCCCGCAGAACTGCTTATCTCAGAGGAACAGCACTGCCAAGAGGGAAGTTCCTTACACGTAACACACACGGCACCATAGCTGACCATACAGCTCTGAAACCGTCAGACCAGAGCCTTAAAACCCATGTTGCTCTGCATTATGGGTTTCTTTTTCTCTCCAGTTGTCCCTCAGGAATCTGCCCAATGAAAGAGAATTTTCTGTGTTTGTTTCATAGCTGTTGGAAGTTGAATATGGCAGTAATGAGTCTGAAGTCTGCTGCTGGAGGAGAAACACTGCTAATAACAACAACAACAACGGGGGTCTAAACGAGATGAAGAGTCTTAATGTAGAGCTTTATGAAATCATTTTTCACATGCTAAGAGGGCAGATGCTCATTCTTCGCTCCTTTTTTCTTTTCTTGTTTCTTCTAGTCTCCTCCCCTCTCATTTCTTATTTTCTCTTCTCTGTTTCTTCTTTTTCTTCATCTAATCCCATCTAGTCTTATTTCCTCTCATCTTCGTCTTGTTTAGTCTCTTCTCTTCTCCTATTGTCATTGACTCTAGTCTTATTTAATTGTTTAGCCTCTTCTCTTCTGGTTTCACCTTGTCTCTTTTCTTCCCCCCTTGCCTTGTTTAATCTCTTCTCTTCTCATTTGATCTAATTTCTTCCTTTTTGTCTCTTCTAGTCTCATCTCTTCTCTTGTACTCTCATTTTGTCCCATTTCTTCTTTTCTAGTCTCTTTTGTTCTCATCTATAGCCTCATCTCTTCTCATTACCTGTCCTTTCATCTTGTCTTTTCCTGCTGTCTCATCTCAACACATTTAGTGTCTTCTCGTCTCATCTCATTTAATTTTCTTGTCTTATCCCTCTTGTCTCATTTAACTTTCTTATCTTCTTGTCTTGATCTTCTTCTTTTTGATCTTCTTCTTCTTGTCTCCTCTCTTCTGGTCTCACCTTTGTCTTTTTCGTCTCTTATTGTCTTATAATCTTCTAATTTCTTTATAATAACTTTTCATCTGGTTTCATTTAATCTTTTCTGGTCTCTTTTGGTTTGTTTTGTCTCAACTGATCTCCTCTCTTGTTGCATCTCATCTCATCTCTTTTTCTTTGCTAGTCTCGTCTGGATTGTTTGTCTAATCTCTTCTCTGTTCATTTAGTCTTGTCCAGTCTAGTCTCTTCTGGCCTTGTCTCTTATCTTCTCCTCTTCTCTCATTTTGTTTCGTCTCATCTCTGTTCTAGCCTGTCCTACTCATGGAGTCGTCTTTACAGATGGTGTAATCATTGGGCAGTGACTCTGACAATTATCTAAAATGTGCGAGTGTGTGTGCTGGCGCAGACACAGTTACACATCATTGTGTCTCAGCCAAGTCCATCAAGATGACTCAATTATTGTGGAGGAACTTCTGCCAAACAAAGAAGATCAACATGGAACAACAACAGTGTGAGCAATACGCACACACAAATGGATATATTTTTGAGCCTCTAATAACGGCAACAACAACACAATGGGTAAAATACATCAAACATTTGTCATATTTCTTTGCCTTTTTCGCTTCACTTCATCTTACACATAAAGACACATGCACCGCTAAGTCTCATAAGTGGTAACAGCCACAGCTGTGTCGTGTTTCATGGCCTCAGTGCCACACACAATCTCTCATTAGTGCTTTTCTGCTGATATGTGCTTGCTTTTGTTTGTGCTTGCGTATGCCTTCATACATATGTGTGCGTGTTATTGTGTGTATCAAAGCATATCCACCTTTTACCTCTGAAAGAACCAGATCTGGTTACCTACAAGGCCTCGAGGTGAAGAATGATTGACAGCCACACATACAGCATCTTAATGTCAGGCTTAAGACGGTTTATCTTATTAGGCATGTGAGTAAAAAAAAAATTTAAGTGGGAAAAGAACAAGACGACAAAAAATCAAGCATGTTATATTATACTTCTGTGCAAACTGTACTTTTGGACATAAAAATGGTTGAAGACCAAGGGAAGGCCCCGTTTAGATAAACATGTGCTTACTTCTGCCATGTTGCTCAGTCCTGTATCTGGTTCGGAAACTCTGACTTGCAGGTGATGGAGATGTTGTCCACTCTCAAAGTCCACAGTGCGTGTCAGGCTGAGTGCACCACTCTCTTGGTTTATGCTGAACAGGTTGCTTGGGTTCACCAGCAGCATATAAGACAGAGTCTTCCTCTGGAAAGAGATAGCCTGGACCACCGCCACCCTACAGACACATCAAGGAAATAGAATCAGTGCACAGGCCAGCATTTCATTTATACACTATGTATCCTATGGGAGGATGGAAACTACAGCTCTGTTCCAAAACATTGTGAGCTACCTACTGAGACGGTTTTTAATCATATAAAAAAGATGTATTAAAAATACATAATTAAATATGGACCATTTCACACAATACTTGTGTGTACTATTTAAAATGCTGGGATTAGTAAGATTTTTTTATGTTTTTGCAAGTAATCTCAAAAAGAGTTATTTAATACTGTGAAATAATATTATAGTTTAAAATAACTGTTGTCTATTTTAATAGATTTTAAAATGTAATTTATTCCTGTGATGGCAAAACTGAATTCTGAATCAGCAGTCATTACTCCAGTCTTTAGTGTCACATGATCCTTCGGAAATCATACTGATATGCTTATTTGGACCTAAAAAAAACATGTATTATTATTATTATTATCAATTTCACAAAAACAGTCGAGCTGGTTAATACGTTTGTGTAAACCATGATACTTTTTTTTCAGGATTCTTTGATGAACAGAAGTAAAAAAAAACAGCATTTTTTTTACAGAAATCTTTTGAAACATTTTTATGTCTTTACTGTCACTTTTGATCAGTTTAATGCATCCTTGCTGAAAAAAAGTATTAATTTCTTTAAAAAAGTGCACTTTTTAGCTTAGCAAGATGCTAACATTAAACTAATGTATTTAATTTAAGTCTCATACGCTTCACATGAGAAGTACTGCAGATGTTGCACTGATGTAAAGCGTTTCAAACTAGCCATTAATTTTTAGCAGCACGAAAACTCACAAAATACAAAATATTTTCAAAAGCAATGGCCAGTTTTGTCAGTAAGCCAACCAAAAAAAAAAAAGCCCATTAGTGGCCAAAATTCAGTGACCTGGCAACCTCCTGCCACACAAATGCTGCCAGTGTAAACAAAGCTTTAGAATGCAGCTGCAAGGCAACTTACAAGATTTTAGAATAGGGCTACTGTCTCTACAGTTAAAAATGGGAAATAATGCATGTCTGAGATATCTCAGTTGTTCTTTGAGGCTCGCGTCCCATGTCATCTCCCCCTTCCACACTCTTTAACTTTAATATGTCTCTCTTTTCCTCTCTTTTTAATATGTCTCTCTTTCCATGATTAACTGTCCTCTCCTCCTTCACACAGATTATTATGCTCAGTTCTGTGCCAGTGCCCGAAGGGGGAAGTTCAGACACTGCTCTTCATGTTTATCCAGAAGTTTCTTTTAATAAATATTTGAATTTGAACACGCTTTCAAATTCAGAGCCTGGGGACAAAATGATGCATCTGTGTTCCCCCTCTCTGCCACAACCTCCTCTATTCACTCTGTCCCCCCTCTTTCAACCTCCACTATCCCTCCGGGTGAATTGTTTCATGCAACAGATGACACATAAAGCTTTGGAGTTGCCACGTTCACACAATCCTTCTCTTACTCTCTAATGAGCAACAAATTCTGAATCTTTTTACATGTTGACACACACAAACACGGCCACTAACACACATCTTCCTGTACTCACGCTTGGCCCACCCCAGTGCTCTCTGGGATGTAGATCGTGTAGGTGGTGTTGGTGAACTGAGGGGGCCGGAAGCCAGCTAGTATGAACACAGAGGCGTGCGGACCCCTCCTGCCCTGCGAGTCTACAGCCTGGACGGTCAGTGTGTACTCCTTACTGGGGGTCAGAGGTCGCCCTGTGGTCTTCACTTCTCCTGTTACTCTGTCCACTTCAAATGAATCATCTCCACCTGTCACAAAATACACACCCAATTAATGTAGCAAATAAAATAAAATAAAAGGAAATAAAATTCTAACTTCTAAATTCTAAAATTCTATATTTGAATATTATCTAGGTTTCTATAATTTTATTTTGTAATCTATATTTTTATGATTTATTATTTTTAAATTATATTTATAAATGATATTGTGACCAGTGTTGTTATTGTTAACTAAAATTAAAGCTAAAATCAAGACTACTAAAAATACTTTTCAGTATTTGAAATGAAGCTAAAAATAATAATAAAATAAAATAAAATAAAATGAAATAAAATAAGGCAAATACTTAAAAATATACATATTTTATATACATATTAAAATACAGATTTCCGTCGTTTTATTTTGTAATCTGTATTTTTATGATTTATTATTTTTAAATTATATCTATAAATTATATTGTGACCAGTGTTGTTACTAAAGCTAAAACCAAGACTACTAAAAATACTTTTCAGTATTTGAAATGAAGCTAAAAATAATAATAATAAAAGAAAAGAAAAGAAAATGAAATAAAATAAGGCAAACACTTTCAAATATACATATTTTTATATACATATTAAAATACAGATTTCTGTCATTTTATTTTGTAATCTGTATATTTATGATGTATTATTTTCCAAATTACATTTACATTTTTGTCATTAGAAATGAAGATGCAATAAAATAAATAAATAAAAATAAAAATAAATAAAATATTAGATTAAAAAGGTTAAACTTAAATTTGTAGTACTACATTTAACAATCAAAAGTTAAATTAAAATTAAATAAAAAATTTAACTAAAAATATAAAAATAAAACCTAATTCAAGATATGAATATATACATTAATAGTAAATAAAATAATACTAAAATAACAATTTTGGTAAGCAGAAAGTAACTAATATGATTTCCTTTTTCAAAAATGGTGAATATTTTATCCAGTATATTAAGACACATATTATAGGGACATGAAAATGTATTGTATAGGAACAACCTGCCTAACTTTAAAAATGATGACTTAAAGCATGTTACCAATTTGCAAACATCGTCTAAAAACTGATGTGGCACTTGTTTATAATCACATATTAAAAGAACAACGCTTGTAAAGTTTAGCTCAAAGTGCAAGAGCATTACAAAGACAAAGTCACAAAAGCCTTCGAGTCTTTTTACACACATTAAGTGTGCGGGACCCTTCTGCCAGCTGTGTTTCAGTGCATCTGTGTGTGTGAGGAGCAATATGCTCCCCTCCGTTCCTGCTTCAGGACAATAGCAAGACAAGAGCTCATTTTAACCGCTGTCCCCTTGAGCATGTTGTTATTTGGGAGTCGAGGAAGAGGAGGTGGATGAAGAACACAGCTGCTGAGGCGGAGCAGATCTCCCAGCTGTACCCACCTCGCCTTGCCCTTTCTGCAGCTGCTTGAATGCTCATCTGCTACGAGCAGAGGTTCTGATCCAGAATCACGTTTGATTCTGTTCTTACAAGCTTGCTTCAAATAACTAAAAAGTTGTTGTTAATGGTGTGAAGTGAATCCTAGTCCTATTATGTACATTTTGCAGCTTATTCTGGCTAAGAATTGCCCACTTAGACAGAAAAACGCTGAGCAACCTCCAATTACTGTTTGGTGTTTTGTTTAAGGACGGGTAACTCTAAGAACAAAACTGAAAATTCAGGTACACATTTACATGCTACTAAACAAATGGAAAAATTTGATGATCTAACTGACAACAATGATATCAATGTTATATTTGCATACATTTACATTCAAAACTTTGGGGCCGAGATTTTTTAATGTTTCTGAAAAAAGTCTCTTATGCTCAAAAAGGCTGCATTTAATTGATGTAAAATACAGTAATATTGCAAAATACTATTACAATAAAAAAAAACTGCTTTAAATTTTAATATATTTTAAAATATATTTTATTCTTGTGATGTCAAAACTAAATTGTCAGTCTCCAGCAGCACAAGATCCTTCAGAAATCATTCTAATATGCTGATTTGGTGCTCAAAAATATTTCTCATTATTATTAATATTGAAAACAGTTGTGCTGATTAATTTAATATTTTTGTGGAAACTGTGATCCATTTTTTTCAGGATTCTTTGATAAATACAAAGTTTAAAAGAACAGCATTTATTTGAAACAAATCTTTTCTAAAATTGTAAAGGTCTTTAACATCATTTTTGATCAATGTGATGCAATGAAATATTTATCCTGCATTTATTTGCATGATGAATTATGATAGGTTTGTTATTATTTTACCAACTATATCTGCCTATACTACAAAAATGGTAGATTAGTCATGTCTAAAGGATGCTGTAAAGCACAACATACAGTAGTGCCTGCAGCCCTTCAGCTGTGAAAATATTCATAATATAACATCGCCTTGATTTTGTTATGGACAATTTTTCATTAAAGCATTATTAAGCAAATTCATTAAGTGCCACTGTGCAACATAACATGGCTGGAATGCCATACTGACCAATCAGCATCCAGGAGTGTTCAATGTTCAATTTATTTATAAAGCACATTTAAAACAACTTTAGTTGACCAAAGTGCTGTACCAGAACTGTCCTTATTATAATTTCTGTCATATTTCTGCAAAATCAAGGTCTAAAATCTATGCTTATCTAAAACATTAACACTTTTGTCCTACAAGGACTAGTCATCCATTCTGTAAGTGCAAATCTAGTCTAACTGACAATGAATGACATTCACCTAAAAGACAGATCAAATACTTGGAGGAAGAGCGCTATAGGCAATGGCACCAAAACACAGAGTTTATAAACATCTGAGTGCAATATCACCGGAGACAGAATATTTATAGCAGTCTAAATCCTTATGGACCAGAGAAGTAATTTTGTAATGTCACAACATATCAGATGATGAATGACTAACCATTATGATAGGTTATGATGTTTCTGAAGATGTCCTGGAGGTACAATAAAACTAGTACGGCACACCTGTCCCAACGCAAACATACACTAACACATATACGGGCAGATCAGAATTGTATGTTTAAATATTGTTTAGTCTGATTGCTTCTGACTAATTAGACAGAATTCTAATCATGCCTCAGATTCATTTAACCTTTGTTGCACTCCGTGCACTAAATGAAATCACTTAAACACGAGTGAATAACTATGGAAAAGGCATGGATTACATTAGTGACTTAGCATTTTATGCCATTTCTATTACAGTGTTAACCAACTGGCTGATAAAAAAGACACGTCATTGCCATTGTTTCAAAATAAAAGCATGTCTATGGTGTCCATTATGATTTCATGGCAAACTGCAAAAAAACCCCCCTGATATTTCCTGTCAGTCTTTGAACTTCTCTCAAACCTGAGCTAAATATTCAATCTAAACTATTTCAGTTTCAAGGGGTTAAAATTATTGATCATATAATGCATGTCTGCGTGTGAGACATCAGTCTAATTCCCTTTCCATCTAAAGTGGGCCAGCGTTTTAACTGGCAGAATGATTGTATTGACAGTTTTACGATTATCAAAGAGTCAGCCGATCAAACCCACCATCAACTAAAAGGAAGTGAGCTGTTCCCATGGAGCCATCTCCACTTCGGGCCACGAGCTTGTAGACCACAGAGCCAGCACCAGTGTCAGGACCTACAGCTGCCAGGTAGGGGTAGGGGAACATGGCCCACTGCACATCTGACAGGTTGGGGAGGGTCAGAGTCAGCCAGCACAGGTACCATTCATCACCTACAGAGAGAGAAACAGACAAATATGATTTTAATTGATCACATACCAAAAGCACTTCTTTCACTTGTTTATTTTGGGATATTGTAGAAGTTAGCATTTTTATTGTGCATTTTATGCATTACAATGCGTGAAATAACAATGCAAGTCTACTTATAAAAAGTTAATTCAGTTATTTATCAGGAAAAAATATAAAATTTAAAAGATTCACAAAATTTATGTTTTTTTGTTATGCATTTTATGCATTACAAAACAGAAAATAATGTAGGTCTACCTAGTTAATTCAGGTATTTATCAGGTAAAAGTATAAAACTAAAGGAAAATGTAGATTTTTTTATGCATTTTATGCATTTCAATACATGAAATAATGTAAGTCCCCATAGGAAAGAAAAATCAAAAGTGAGATCTCTTTAACATCTCAAATATTTCTCCTAGACAGAAATGAGGTTACTTTAAGATCGAATGGAGATTTTTGCTTGAGTCTCCTGCTTCTCAAACTTGTTTCCTGAGACAAAAACTCTAACACTCTCACATTTGTCTCATTTAAAGCTTTAGAATAGATCTCAACAGCATCACACACTGCGCTCAGATTTTTCTTTTTAGCTAAAGACTCTGGTGGTCTCACATTTGTCTCCTCCAAAGTTTCAAACAAGATCTCAACAACATCACACACTGTGCTCAGGTTTTTCTCCTTAGCAGACATTGGATCTCTGACATTTGTCTCCTTTAAAGCTTTAGAAGATATCTCAACAAAATGACACTGTGCTCAGATATTTCTCCTTAGCTAGAGACTCTGGATCTCTAATATTTGTCTCCTCAAAAGTTTAGATTAGAGATCTCAAGAACATCACAGTGTGTGATGTTGAGATCTCTTCTAAACATTCGAGAAGACACATGTGAGAGCTCCATCGTCTCTAGCTAAAGGGATAAATCTGAGCACAGTGTGTGATGCTGAGATCTTGTTTGAAACTTTAAAGGAGACAAATATGAGACCACCAGAGTCTTTAGATTAGGAGAAAAATCTGAGCACAGTGTGTAATGTTGTTGATCCACACCATTTCAATCAAAGACAATACATGCATTGTCATATTTGAAGTTGTTTTATGTTTTATTGCACAATGATTTTACAGAGGAAACCATAACTTCTGAAATGTTTAATGCTATTTAAATGATAGTTTTAGTATTTACAATATTAGTAAAA